TTATAAAATACACACAGGCAGGAAAATACCACTCTATGTACAGTATTTCCTCTATACATATTTAGAGACAAAAAGAGGATGACAGAACCCACATTACCCCATAAGATACGTACCTTGGGCATAGGAGGGGATGATGGTATTGAAGCTGGGGTAGGGGAGCAATGGTTTAATATTTTTTCAAAAAAGATGTATTTATGCATTATTTGTACAATTAAATACAGTTTAGAGGAAAAAAGTACTGAAAAGAAATTGTTGACTGTGGTTATCTTTTAGTTATAGGGCTAGATTTTATTTTCATCTTTATTATAGATTTCCATATTTTCCAAATCCTTTACAGTGACACATGTTACTTTCATAACCAGAAGTAACATCCCTTCTTAAATTTAAAAAAGGGAGCAGCACAGATAAAAAGCCACCAACCCTGCTATATAGTGTGTTTATGAGGAACAGGATGACAAAGAAACACCCGTAGGTAACATAGCCTGCACACACACATTGGAGAGCCGACATTTCCAGAGCTCTTCTTTTTTTTTTTTTTTTTTTTTTGGTACCAGGGATCGAACTTGGGTCCTTGTGCTTGCACAGCAGGCGGCGAAACCACTGAGCTAAATGCCCCGCCCCTCTGGAGCTCTTCTTAAGCCCTCCCGGAGTTTGTAAAACTTTTTGAAAATTCTTCAACTTTTCCTGTAAGTATTAAACAATCTTCACTTCTTTTTTTAAAAAAAATCTTTTTTTTCTACCCTCTTCAAAATGGCAAGATAAGGACTCTCATTTGTCCTCACATGAGGACAATCTAAGTTATTAGGTACCTCTCAGCTAACCCATGAAGCAATTTTACACTAATTTTAGAGAGCCAACTACATATGATTTGATTCTGCTGCTGATATTATTATGATAATGACTGAAATTGCCTCACAGGGTGGCTCATAGTCTTTTCAGAATAAACGATGGTTTCAAAGTTCAGGAGCATAAAGCAAAGATAAGCTTATTCAGAATTTAGTACACAATGTGCCCAATTATCTGACCTGTATGGACAATGTGTCAGACCAGTCTTACTACTATGGTATTTGGTTGTCTTATTATCCCATGGGGGTGAAAAAAATAAAAGACGATGACGAAGAAGAAAATCACTGCCTGTGTCTGACATACAAAAGCTTCTAAATCCATTCCATTATCATTTTGTCCCATAACTGATCTTCCCTTCATGCCAGCATTATTCCTTAGTGCATTGCACAGTTGCATGGCTTCCATTATGGAATCTCTCCTCTCTCTTTCTCTCTGCTCCCTCCCTCCCTCCCTTTCTGTCTACACTTTTCCAGTGCTGCCCACTCCCTATCATCCATTTCTTTGCCCCAAGTAAACTTTCCTCCTGGATTTGCAGTGAATAAATTATCTCAAAACCTTTCTCTTTTCTATCTAGTCACTCCTCCCATTTTGACTACCAGTTCTTCTCCCTACTTGGAAGAATTTTCCTGAGCCTCCTTCTTTCCCTTCTTCTTCCACCTGCACTGTAACTTCATTGATAATATTCTAATTTTTACAGGGAAAGTGGCATACACACGGCCTGCCAGAGAAAGTGTATATTCACTTCAGGGAAAGAAAACTTTGTATAAATATTATAATACTAAATTTATTAAGACATCATGAGATTAATACAAGTTACCCTTGGCTTCCACAGTTACAAGAGGTACTCAAAGTGGTGGGCATTCACTTCCAGACATTTATTATTTTTCTTTTCCTGAAGTGTGTATACATTTTTGGGCAGACCCTGTATATATCACAAAGTGACTCATATTGTGTACAATTTTTATACTTTTGTGTATCAGTTAAATAATGGATTTAAATTCTTAGAAAATGATTTTCATATTGAAATTAGTTTCTTAAGTAAAACCTAACTGGAAACATGTTTAAGAGTCTAAGTTACTCTTCTTGCAACCTACCCTTCCGACATTGCCACTTCCAGTGGCTGAACACTGTGGCTTCCAATTGGCTGGAGAGGTGACAAGAAACCCTGAACTTTACCCCAGTGCATGCAAAGGAGCAGCACCAAACAATTCCTGTTCTCCACACGGCAGTGCTTGGCATCCATTCGCTCTTCTACAAGGACATTTTGACTACATTTGGGACAGGAAATCCAGGGCTAAAGTAAATGGAATATAAATAATTGCTTAGCCAAAATATGAAATATCCTCAAGGTTTAAAACAAGAATTCAATGATTTTGATTTTTTATTAGCTTTTAAAAGATCTCCAATCAAGAAATGATAAGCCAAGGAGGGAAGAAACTATCTAAATAATTTCTGTGCTGCACTAAATCCCTGTTTCCCCTGGTGGCCTTCCCTGGTGGCCTTTAACTATGCCCAAAGAAATAAAAATGATGCTGTTTTATTTCTTCTAGCAACCATCTCTTCTCTCAAAAGGAACCCATGGTTTCTGGCACACAAACTCCTGAGGCTAACAAAGCCTCCACAGCAGCCCACTTGGAAAATGAGGAGAAAGTGGAAAATGTCAGCAAAAAGTAAGCAGATAATGAGAGAGAGAGAGAGAGAGAGAGAGAGAGAGAGAGAGAGAGAGAGAGAGAGAGGGAGGGAGAGAGGCAAAGAAAGAGAAAGAAAGAAAAGAGAGAGAGAAATCAAGCCAGGCGTGGTGGCTCACACCTGCAATCCCAGCACTTGGGAGGCTGAGACAGGAGAATCTCTGTGAGTTTAAGTCAGCCTGGGCTACATAGTGAGTCCAAGGCCAGCCTGGATCACATAGTGGGTCCTTGTCTCAAAACACCAAACAAACAAAAAAAATTAATCAATCAAATATAATTTTCAGCCTTCCTATAAGAATTCTTATAAGGGGACAGAATATGCCCAGTCAAGTTTTTAGACTTATTTTTCCTCTATCTTGTTCCCAGAATAAATAGGACTAAAGGCAAACTTCAAACCCTCCCCTGTTGTATTTAGCAAGTGTGTCCTCAGCACATGGTTTAGGACAGATGTACATAGACTGCTGTTTGGGAAGTGTCCTTTCAAAGACAGGATCTGTCATCTCCTGAATGACCAGAGCTCACTTTCCTCCTCCCCAGGACCTGTCTCCTATCCCCCCTTTCTATCCCCCCCTTCCTGTTCCCCCTCCTATCCCCCTTCCTGTCCCCCCTGCCAGCTCCAAGACAGGAGCAGAGGCAGCTGTCCAGTGGCAGGTGTCAGAGGCCAGAGGAGCAAATCATCCAATGATCAGGTAAGCACCTTTATAGCACTCTTCCCACACTTCTGACATTTGTGAATTAAATGTCTCCCTATGTCATTTTGCTTCGACCCAGCTTTCTTCAAAAAAGTTTCCACTTTGGTCAGTGGAAATGCTTGGGTCCCCCTGCTGTTTCGGCTATCTTCCCATAGCCACCTTCGTGTCCTCTAAGGCACAGGTAAGGGGTAAATATGTGTGCTTGAGGCCTGCACGTCTCCCTCCCTCAGGAAATGTCACGCTAGCACCTACTCTGTCCCTCACATTGGAAGCAGAGTTATTTGCAGAATTAAGTGAAGGGAAGGGTGCTCCTTTTACTAATGTCCCAGTCCTCACTCCACATGTGAGTCACTCCCCAGGCTCCCCCATTCTGCTCTGACTTCTGAGTCCTGTCCCCTGGGCACAGGCTGGTCCCAGAAGCCCACAGGGCTTCCACCACCTTCCTTTGCCTCTTCCTCTCCCCAGAAGCAGGAGCACAACAGAGAGCTGGGCACACTGAGCGTGAGCCCCGGCAGGAGAAAGGCTGCCTTCCTTCGGCTCTGCAGGAGCTCTGGGACACACTTCTCCTGGTTCAGGGCAGGACCACAAACTAAAGGCAAGTCCTCCCCTGCTAGTGTTTTCTGTCAGCTTCACTGTGTGCAAAAGGCTTGGGTTTTACAGAATGACTTTAACTTCCATCCAGAGCTCCAAGTCTGTTGCTTGCTCAGTATCAAAATAAGAAGGAAAAGGGGGCCAGGGATTTAGCTCAGTGGTGCCGCCGCCTGCCTTGCAAGCTCAAGGTCCTGAGTTCCATCCCTCGTACCAAAAAAAAAAGAAGGAAAAGAATGGTGACACAGGCGAGCATGGTGGTGCATGCTTCTGATCCCAGATTCAACCCCTGCCTGGGCAGCTTAGTAACTTAGCAAGACTTGGGGTCAAAAGAAAAAAAAATTTAAGGGGCTGAGATGTAGCATCGTGTGAAGGCCCTGGGATCAATCAATATCTAGTAGGGCAAAGGAGGAGGAAGAGAAGGGGGAGGAGGAGGAGGAGGGAGGGGGAGGAGAAAAAAAGAAGAGGAGGAGGGAGAGAGACAAAAGGCAGTAAGGAAAAATTAAAGGAGAAAAAACTAAAAGCAATAAGAGGATGCAAATAACCTCACTTGCTAGAGATGGGACACAGCGTGGCATGCCTTCTCCAAGCAGATCAAAGGGAACCACACATGGGCCCAGGACTCTGAGGTAAAGCAAACAAGTTTCCTCAACAATAGCACACTGACCTACTCGCTAAAGAAATTACAGCAAATTTGAAACCCCACAAGACAATCCAGAGGCATGGAGACAAGCCCTGGCCCAGGCATCGAACTCCTTCAACTGGGTCGAGACGGTAGAGTCCAAGTAGATACTGCTCAGGTTGCGGCTTTTGAGGATAATTGTGAGTTAGGGCATAGAATGAATGAAATGCAGTCTTCAGCCAATCCTCTGGTATTCACAGAAACATGATTTCTGAGACTCTTGTCCAGGAATGCAAAATGCACCCACCCTGGCTCCCTACTGAGTCACGGAGAGGGGTCCGGTAAGTGGAGACCGGTCCTGTGGAGGACACGCCTGCCCAGCGCCAGCCAAGGTCTCAGACGTTCCGCATCTGAGCATTTCCAGCTGGGACCGAAAACGGTCTGCCAAAGCTTCATCCAGAAATCAATGAGGCCTGGAGCAACGGCTCTGCGTGGTCCCCCTCCGTCTCCCATTGAGCTGATCCAACCACGTCGCTGACAGCGCAGTCAACTTGCGATGCAGACCTGATCGCTGACACCACACCTGCAGAAGCTGACCGCAGCGGACCAGGCAAGGAGTAAACTCCCCACGGCGCATGCACCTCCTCCATCAGCCAGAATCTGCAAGGCCATCTTTCTGCCCCAGGTCCAGCCTAATCTCAGGTCACACGGAAAAAGTGAAATCTGCCACGTAGCTTTATAACTCTTTCCTGTGCAGGGTGCCTTCCCACCCCTCCCATGCTGCTTCTCGCCCTGACAGAAGTCGGGCTAGTTCAGGAGCTGGAATTAGCATTTCAGTGGTTCCTTGCTAAGACACCCAGGAAACATTTATTTATATTCTAGTGGTCACTCCTGTTCCATCTTCATCTTACTTTATTTATTGATCTTAGTGATATTTCTCCGATGGTCTTATCAATTTTTTTAAATGAATGCCACACTCACCTTTTTACCAATCAGAGATAATTTTGTTATATTTTGGCACATTTCTTTATAGTATTTTTCAAATATGCATTTGAAATATATATATACATAATGTGTTTTTTTCAAATATAGCGGGGGTTGCATCATAACTCCAATTTTGTACCCTCTCTTCTTCACTTGATATTAATATTTTCCCAAGTATGCTTTAAAAATGTCACAGGGGCACAGTATCCCATCACGGAGCTGTATTTTCATTTGACTTTTCTGTCATCAAGGGGCATTCAGGGGTTTTTTTCCCCAAGGTATCAAGATTACAAATCTGCTAGAACTCTCGATTGTTTCCTTAGGATTAGTTCCTGGAAAAGAAGGAACTAGACAAAAGGAATAAAAGGTCTAAGGATTTAGCTCCCTACTGCACATAAAATAGTACCAATTTACACTCCCCCAAGAATTAACTATTAGTTATATGACATTAGGGCACATTGCTTAATCAGTCCCTTCTCGATATTTCTGTAACCTTTTAATGCTCTCTGTATTCAGATATTTATTATATAAATAATAACAGTAAATTAGCCTTTTTAAACAACTTGTCTACACAACACAATTTAAGCACTTTACTAAGATCACTCAATTCTTGCAGCAATTCCTACAAAGCAAAAAGAAGTCTGTCTTCCCCCCCATAACTCCGTCTCAGGAGTGGTGAAGACAGAACTCAGAGCCACAAGTTGATCTGATCCTTCAACCCATATTTTCTCCCTGAGGTCGGCAAATGTTTTGGTTCCAGTCCCAGCTGTATGAGTTTATGGAACCAACCTGAAAGTCCGTTCATGTACAATGATATACGTGCCCTGCTGTATGGATTAGGCATATTACCAATATACACAAAAGTATATACTAAGATGAGACTAAAATAAATACAAATAAATCTTTCACCCTGAAGCTCTCATAAACCATCTGTGTCCATCCCTTGCAGCCACGTGGAGAATCTGCTACCACTTCTATGCCTGTGTAACCAGTGTGAACCACATGAGAGGTTGTGATTACAATGTACAGCTACCTGGAATTAAGTACTGATGTTAGGCTGTATGCAGCATGATGCAAATGCATCCTTTAACGCTGAGAGTGACTCTCCTGAGATGATGTACTTCTGCCTTGTACAAGAAGGAAACGTGGGTTCCAGAGGGACAAGGAGCCCTCTCCTCCCCTCTCCTCCCTCCCGCAGCTCAAAGCCCCTCACCTCCTCACCTGCCCCAGACACAGTGGCCACTTGGTCCTTAGGTCAGCTTCCTCTGGCCCCCAATCTGAATTATGTCTTGTGTGTTCCTTCTTGAGGCCCCCAACACTTACCCTGCATGTCACCGCCCACCGTAACTATTATTTATCTGTATGATCTTTGATTCCTTTTGATTAATAATGTTTGTGATGCATAATAAATGCATTCATCTTGGGGAACATGCACATACCCATATCACATCTTGACCTTTTTTACTTCCCTTCCCCTCCTCTCCTTTCATCTCCTCTCATTCCCATATCCCCTTCCCATCTCCACAAAGCCCATCTCCCTGTTTCCTATCATCTGTCTTTTATTTTGCCATTCAAATTTTTTATACTTTGTGTTTCTCATATACAAGAACCCATGCAATATTTAACCTGTGTCTGATTTACTTCACTTAGCATTATAGTCTCAAGGTGCATCCATTTTCTTACAAATGACTCATTCACTCTTCTTTATGGCTGAATAGTATTCCATTGTGTATACACACCACATTTTCTTTAACCATTCATCCATTGATGGATATATAGGCCACTTCCTAGATTTAGCTATCATGAGTTGTGGGCTATAAGCATGGGTATACATGGATCATTGTAATATGATGTCTTTAACTCTTTATATATATGTATATGTATATATATACACATATATATATACATACATATATATATACACACACACACATATATATATACAGGGTCTTGTTATATAGCCCAGGCTGGCCTTGAACTCACAGAGATCCTCCTGCCTCAGCCTCCTGAATGCTAGGATTACAAGTGTGCATCACCACGCCTGGGTGATTCCTTTCAGAAAGACACCCAGAACAGGTACCACTGGTCAAATGAAATCTCCATGGTTAGTGTTTTGAGGAATCTCCATACTGGTTTCCATAGTGCCTGCACAAGTTTCCATTCCCACCAACAATGGAGATGCATTTCATTTCACAACCTCCCCAGCATCTGTTGTTTTTTGAGTTCTTGATTATTGTCTTAATGTCCACTTCTCCTGTTAGGACACAAGGTCCACACAGCTGCAGAGTATCTGCTTTGTTCACCTCTGTGTCCTCAGTGTCTGGACCCCAGAAACACTTGTGGAATGAACGAATAATAAACCGGTGCCACCAGAATTCAAAACAAGACTGTCTGACTCCAAAGCTCTGAATTACTCTCTTACTGTCCCATCTACATCTGGTCAGATTTGAGATCATAGCTTTCCAGTAAATTGAACTATGCCCCCAACCTCCACATTGCTGTCTGCTGTTCTGACTGAGGTAGGAATGACTTCCATTCTGTAAGTAATGCTGTGCTTAAAGAATTAATTTGACTTGAACCTGTAAATCTCTTTCCAGCCATGTTTTGGAAGCTGTGTTCAGTTTCCTGCAAATTCATAATTGCACAGTTGGGTCTAGTCTTCTCAAGAGCTTATATTTTAGTTGAATACAAATTGCTATGAAGCTTTAAAAAAATCTGTTCACAGCTGGACATGATGGCACACACCTGTAATCCTAGCACTCTGGGAGGCTAGGGTAGGAGGATCACAAGTTCCAGCCCAGCCTGGACAACTTAACCACTTAGTAAGACCCTATTGCAAAACAGACAAAAAATATATATATATATTTAAAAAGGGCTGGTTATGTAGCTCAGTGTGAAGGCTCTGGGTTCAATCCCCAGTACTGACCAAAAAAAGCTATTCATGTTAACAATATAATTTCTTATGCTGGACTCAAAGTTACAGGCAAATTAACTTCAGGTCCTATTTTAAACAACCAGCAATGTTCCAGCATTTACAATGGGCGTACCTATTTCCTCAGGAAGTGTAGGGTGTAGTTGTCAAGCCCAGCAATGAATGTAGATTTGAGAATATTGTCAATCTGCAATGGCTTCTGAGAGAGGAATCATGGAAACAAAATCTCTATTAACAACTAGCTAGATAGGGCATTTTATTCATATTATAATATCTTCCCACAGGCTAAAGATCCTAGAACTCTTCCCAAATGAGATTTGTCCAGTCCACCTACCATAAAACATTTGATAAATTGTTTTAAAGTGAGATGTTTTCCTGTGATGTAATGTTTCGGCTCCTCTGTTGAGTGGTGTGCTTAAACTTTAACAAGCCATTTATTCAAATTAGCTCCTCAGGGATATTTCCTTAGAATGTTCTTGAAATGCAATTTACCCTACCTGCCAAAAGAGCAATTCCCTGATGCACTGCATTGTCCTAGGGAGACTGAAGAATTGCTCAATATTGTTTCCTATCCCTCTGTCTTGTCTTAGCCTATAGAAGAAAGAGCAAAAAATTTAAGACAAAACTGTCCACACTCAGTGTGAGCTCTTCTATTATCTATCAGGGCTATATGTACACTGACTCCACATACATTCTCATCTCCCTCCAGGGCCACACTGTGACTCTGAGTGCCCTGCATACTTTTGCCTTCATGGGCTCCTTCCTCCATAAAAAAATAGTAAAAATTATATTTTATGACTGCATTGGTATAAAAATAAATATATCAAAATCAATGTATTAAAATACTTTTTCAATTTAAAAGTTTGGGATTTTTTCTCTTCTGACTTAAAAAAATATAAAACATTCTCATCAGGCTGAAAATACGGTGGGCCACAGAGATGCCTATGGACTGGTCAGCCCCCTCTCTGGGAAATCAGGCAGGGTTGTGACCAGTTCTTGCCAATGTTCTGCTGTTGGCTGGTTGGTTGGTTGATTGATTGGTTGGTTTGGTGAGATTTTTGGGACATGGTCTCACTATGTAGCCCAGGCTGGCCTTGAACTCAAGGTAATCCTGCCTCAGCCTCCTGAGTGCTGCAGTTACAGGTGTACACCACCATACCTAGCCTGGCTGTTTGTTGATCATCAACTTTTGCATCTGGGTGGGACACATCTGTGGGCCTAGGTGTAGCCTGTTGTCCTTTGTGCTTGGCTCCCAAGAACTCCTCAATCACAGGAAGTCTCAAAGGGATGTTATGCTGTATACTGACCAGGGTTCTCCAGAGAAACTAAGCCAATGGGATGTGCACATGTGGAGAGAGAGAGAGAGAGAGAGGGAGAGAGAGAGAGATTCATTTTAAGAAACTGGCTCATATGACTGTGTGGACTGGCAAGTCTGAAATCTATAGGACAGGTGGAGACATGGGAAAGAGTGAAAGGCAGTCTAAAAATAGAATCCCCTCTCTCTTAGAAACTTCGGTCTTTTCTCTTACAGCCTTCAAACTGATTGGAGGTACACCCACACTTTGGAGGTTAATCTGCTTCAACTTTTGGTTTATTAATTGAAATGTTAATCTTATCTAAAAATTAGATATGGGAAATGGAAGCTCCTTCCTTTTGTCAAAGCACATTAGCTATCAATGAAAGCAATACAAACAAAGGATACTGGGCATGAGGAAGTCTCCAAATTACTGTTGAATGATAAGTACAAATTCAAAGA